GTTAACACATGGCACATGGAATTGTTTTATTGTCAAAATCAGTGAGAAAGTTGTTTATAATTCAATATTCCAACCAAAGAAACAGAGGCTAAATTTATTCAACTATTCATATTTGAATTTCATATGGCAACAAAGATTTTTTGTTTTTCTTCGTCTAATATTAATAGTGCTTTTTTTTTGAATATTCTTAGGAAATTTCAAAATATGAATTTTGTTTTTTAGGTTCTGCATCTTTTCCATAAAATTTATTTTAATGAAATGTAATCTAATTTTTATTTTATTTCATACTAGCAGTAGAGCCCAGCATTGCCCGGGGATGTAACAGTAAGAGATAGATCAAGTATCGACCATCATGAAGACTGAAAAATAAAATTGACAAAGATTATTGTTTAAGGTTGACGGACATGCATGTCTTAATTCAGAGTTTTTTTGTTTTTGTTTTTTTTTGAATTGGTCAAACCCAAACTTAAAAAAACATTGTTTTCAATTGTTATGAGTCTACCGATTGAATAGAATTTTTATTATAAACAATTGTCTTGTAAATGGAATTTTTAATGCATTCTGAATGTAAAAAAAAAAAAAAAATGCATATCAATAAGAAACACTATTCTGCCAAAAAAAAAGTTGAAAATTTCAGAAATCATTGAAAAATGTAGGAAACATCCGATCCCATATATAAATGAACACACACACACACAACAACCTGGGTTTTATAATGGTATAACTCGATATGAGTTGTCCCCTTTCATTCTGGCAACAGAATCGTGTGTTTTATCATGTTTTCAAATTGATTTTTTATAAAAAAAAAATTGTTTTTTCCAATTTTGGCACTGTCAGAACCAATCAGAAAATAATTTTACATAGTCCTGTAAAAAGTTTTGTTGAAATCGGTTGAAAAATGTAGGAAATCCGATCCAATATATAAATGTACAGACACACACACACACACACACACAAACACATACACACACACAACACAATAATCTTTTTTATAATAAGGTAATATATATATATATTTTCAAAAGGGAAAGATTTCATTGCTTTAACACTGTCTTACAGATTAAATAAATCAGAAATGCAACATTTTTTCTGCAAGAATAAAAATTTTAAAATTATTGTAATTCTCAAACAGTGGAAAATGGATAATTTTTCAAATATTGAGGAATTAAGAACATTGAAAAAACAGTCAGATCCATAAAATTCACTTAATATGCTAATTCCTTTGGGTAAGGTATGAAAAATTATTCCCATTTTTCTAACAATCAAAATTTCTAATATAAAATCATTATTAATGTTAATGAATTATCTAAAAACTGAATAGTTTTTTTAATGTAACAGCTAATTTATTATTATGACCAAAAATATCTGAAGTTTCCAATAAAAAAAGTATTTGCATTTTAGAAATGCAGAAATTATCTTTAATCATGAATTTTTATAAAAGGCAAAAACAATGAAATAAAAATTAATGAATATATCTACAATAAGATCAACATTGAAATCAAAAAATGATTGAAAATATTTTCATCCATAACAGCCTTAAATTTGGAAGATACTTACATTCTGTCACTGAGTTTTTTTTAAAGAAAATTTTATCATCAGAATTAAATTTAAAAATTGTATTAAAACAAATAAATTTCAAATGTCATGAAAAATTATCTTCATCATCTTCCAAATGGAATTTTAATTTAAAACCATTTTTACATTGAGAATTTAAAGAATACCAAATTGAACAATTTTGATTTTCTGTGTCATTTAGAAACAGAATTTTAATCAAAGGAATTTTTCTTTTAATGAGAGTCGATAAAATCTTTTCAGGATGTGTTGTGATTCATGGAGACTTTAAGAATGCACCAAATTGATGCCTGATATAATCATTGTGGGATGAACCATGAAAGATGATATGCAATACAAAGATTACTCAGCAAGAGGTTCCATAAAACAATTGACAAAATTATAAATTTGATAAACCTTTTCAGAAACTTTTTTCAGTTTGTTTGGTTTCCTTGATCTTCATTAGAGATCAAAAAAGTATTTTCTTTTTGAATGATTTATTCATAACAAATGTTTATATATATATATATATATATATATATATATATATAAATATTCACAAAAAAAAAAAATAGAAAAAAACTTTTCCCATACATAATATACCATATTGCATAATTGTTCTTGTATTTATTTATTTAGAGATATGCATAAAAATAATTTGTTTTTTTATGTATAGAATTGAATATTTACTATAATTTTTGCATTCTTCCATTCTTTTCAATTTTTTATGCATTAATCTATAATGTATGTATTTACCTTAAAAAGCTGTAACAATTTCACTGAATAAATGTATGACATTTATGGAAAAGAATTTTATTGATATCAAAATAAAAAGTCTTTTGTGCATGTAACCTCAATGTGTTCCAGCAGGCTGTTTCACTCCAATGAAAGAAAGAAAAATTAAAAAAGAAAGAAAAAGATTTTATTTCCAAATAGTTAAAAATTTGTGACTTGATTTAAGGAAGTTTAAAAAAAAAACAAATTTTGCATAAATTTGTAAAAATTGGGCTCATCAAAATTTTGAAGAAAAATTTCGATACTTACTGGTTAAGATATTTGTAATCAAAATGACAAAATAAAAATAGCTCTTTAATATGTTGGCAAATTTTAAAAATATCATCTCTGTTTTTGGCTTTTGGGTGTCATTAATGTAAAACATAATTTAAGTCAATTTTTATCAATTTTCTTTTTATAAATTTTCAAAGGGTTTTTTACTTTTTTTTTGTAGAATTCTTTATGTGCATATGATTAAATATGATGATATGATAAAAATATATCTGATATATACAATTTAAATAATTTTCTCATTATTTTTTGATTAAAATTTTGGTCCAAAAAAATACAGAGGTGCAAATGATAAAAGGCCTTTAACAAAGAAATTTCATTTTTATCCTAAAATTTTGAAAAACATGAAAATATTTTAAATTTTGTTTGTTTTATTTTCAGAAGAAATAAACATAAAATTTAAAAATGTTTTAACTTTTTTTTTCTTATTTTTTAATTTATTTTTTTAAAAAATTAATTTTCAAAAAAATTTTTTGATTCTTTTGCTGAAATTCTTCAGTTAATAAAATTTGAACATTAAAATTTTCATTAATCACAAAAAACTTCTAATATTGATATAACTTAAAAAAAAATATTTTTTTTTGATTCAAAAAAAAATTTTTTTAAAATTTGTAGAAAGAAATTTATTTCGTTTGGATTTTCAGGTCTCCCAAATATTTAAATTGCTAAAAAAAGGCACAATCTGTAGAAGAATGTTTGAAAATATCTGAACAGAAAAAAATAAAATTGTATTAAAGTTATTCAAAAACATAATAAATAAATTAGATACTTTTTGATACACATGATTTCGTTATATCCCAAAGGGAAATGATAACTAATGAAACAATATTATTGTTAAACATGATTTCATAAATAATCACATTTTTTTATAAATAATCTTGAAATTCTTTTAGTCACATTGATTGGAAATATAGAAATGTCAAAGGAAAACATTGTTTTTTGTTTTTTTGATAAAATCAAATGATTGTTATTTTATCCCACAGGAAATGATACAAATAAACAGATAACTTAATAGTCATGTTTGCATCATATTTTTGGAAATGATATTTTTCTAGGATTTTATATACTGATAGGTCAATGGTTTTTACTTGTATCCCACAAATTTAAACAAAAAATAAACAGATAAATTTGATATCATGATTTTCATATCCCAACCGTAAAATGATAATAAATAAACAGATACTGTTGATAGATTGATTGCTATATCCCACAGGAAATGATAATAAATAAAACAGATACTGTTGATAGTCAAGAAAATACTTATATCCCATCTTTTTTGATAAATATATAAATTTACTTTGAAAATTTTGATTGCCTATATCCCACAGGGAAATGATATATAAATAAACAGATACAATTGATAGTCATGATTGCAAATATCCCCTTTTCAAATGATAAGAGAAATAAACAGATACCGTTGACAAATTAAAATTTGATATAGTGGTTCCATCTTGTGCCAATAAATACACATTTGGGAAATTTGCCCTGATAAAAGGAACAGATACTGTTGATAGTCATGATTTTATATCCCACAGGAATCTCCAAATGAAATAAATATCAGATACTGTTGATAGTCATGATTGCCTATATCCCACAGGAAATGGATAATAAATAAACAGATGATATTGGAGGATAAACATATTGCATATATCCCAAATATATTTATTTATTAATCCGTCAGATATTTTTTTTATGATTTTTTTATCCCAACATAGCTTTTATCCAAAGAAACAGAAATTTGTCTTAAAAATATATATATATGTGTATGATATATTATAAAATCATGTATATATATTAAAATTTATGGGTTTATATGCTAATGTTTGCTCGATTATGTCTATGATATCTTTTAAATAGACAAAAATGACAAGGAAATAAAATTTTTGTTGAATAATATATATTCAGTATATAGCTTTAAACCCTAATAAAATTAAAAGTTTTATTATATAAATCTGTCCTATTTATAATATACCCATATTATAAGAGAAAAGTATATTTATATCTTTATATATGTAAAGAAAATGTATTTGGATTTGAAATTTGGATTTGATACATATTTTAAAAACAATTTCATCCATCAAAATACAATACATTTCAAAATCCCTTTGAATCTGATATTAAGATTAAAAGAAAACAACCACACATGCAAATGAAAAAATATTTAATACATTTTCGATTTATAAAAATATTCAGTAAATGACCAATAATTAAAAAATAAAGAAACAAAGAAATTTTAATGTGATTAATTATATATATATATATATATATATATATATATAAAAAGATACACATGTATGTATGCATGTGTGTACATGTATGTGTATCTAGTATGTATAATCATTGCATAGCAATATATAAATAACTTAATTCTTTTCGTACTACAGAACATTTATTGAGGGAATAGACATTTATCTATCTATCTATCTATCTAATATTCTATTTCATTCATTCATATTCATATTGTTCCCTATCTATATATTTTTAGCTGTATATTTCTAATTTTTTAATATTTTTATAAAAATATTTTCTATATACTTGATTTAATAATATTACATACAGAACATATTTTTGAAAATCTGATGAAATTCTTCATATTTGCTATCATATTCTATAAATGGAAATATTTATACCTCATTCCATATATACCTTTCTGCATTTTTACTATATATATATATATATATATAAATTATATTTTATAATAGGTAAAAAGCTATTCTATTCATGATTTATTATTAATCATCTTTATATATATATATATAATGTTGATATTTTTTATTCATTTGGAAGTTCTTTTTCGTTGATATTTATATATATATATATATATATATATATATATATATGTTATCTATGCATTTAACATTGATATCTTTTTATATATATAAAACAAAATATATAAATATATTCAAGGTGTTTTATATTTATTTCACTTTCAATTTATTTTGTATGCAAAAAAAAAATTTATTATATAAATATTATATATAATATGGTCTAGTTCACTTATTCATATATATGCATTTATATATTATATATATATATATTTATATATATATTATATAAGACAAAATGAAAATGATCATGAACAATTGCTAAATGAATTTTATTTTTATGCATTAGTAAAGAAAGACAAAAAATTGAAAAATAAAATTGAGGTTTCTAATGTTAATTACAAAACCACTCCAATTTACGGATTTTCATGCAACCAAACAGGATATTCAAGAAGAGAAGGCTGTGAACATAAAAAAAACACAAACCTTGATGAAGATGAAACACACAGAACAAGAAACTAGGGCTACAAGGTTTTCGAAAGATCATAAAAATGGGGTGATAGAAGTTTGAAAATGTTGTCTCGTTTGATGAGTAACTAATATCTGAAAGAAGAGATTTTGGAAACCAAAAGCTTGAATTTGGCATAAAGAACATGAAAGTACAGATCCATCGAGCCTTGTATCAAAGTTCAAAATGGTCGTCCTCTAACAAAGTATTTTCTATTAATATTTCCTTACTACCAATGATGATCCTTACCTACAATTTTGAGATTGTTATTATAATTATTTTTGAGAATTTGGATATGCAAATTTTATAAATCCAATTAAAGGTACTTTTTTTAAGTTGGTGGTTAGTTCATGGTACAATAATAGTTTTCAATCCAATAGAGTATCTTTTGTATGTGGTGAGATTAGATTCATATAAACTAACTTCACTGAAGTATTTCAAGATGCCAGATTTGATGTATTATAAATTTCCAAAAAATTCCAAAGAATTGTTGAATCTATGCCAAGAAAGAAATTTGTTCAAGAAAAAAAAGGGCTGAATATGCTGTAGGAAAAGAGAGTATATTTTGTATGAAAGAATTCTCCAAATATATATATATATTAGAGAGAGAGAGAGAGCCATAAGAGAGAGAGAGAGAAAGAGATTTCATTTAGTCAGAATTGCAGGGTATATTATAAATTGTTATTTTTGATTATAATATAAAGAATATATTTATAAATATTTTCCATATATTATACATAATTATAAGAAACGGGAAAATATTTGTGAATATGAAAAGATTATGATCAAAATAAGTAGATATAATGTTTTTAATTTATTCAATCAGACATGCATAAAAGAGAATTTTTCCAAATATTACACCATATCTATAAGATACTTAAATCTATCTATATATATATATATATATTAAATATATTTATCAATGTTTTTAGATAATTTATTCAATCATCTCTTTTAATACAATAATAGATATTCCTGTCTGTATTAATATAAATCTACCCTCTACAGAAGCATATATATATTATATAGGTTTATAAACAAAGTTTTTACAAGTTTGTACGTTTGATTACTGATTCACAATGAGATTATTTTTAAAGAAGACCTGTACAATATTAATGCATGTATAAGTTGGAAAAATTACATCCTAAAAATGGAAAAACAAATTTGATTTCTGACAAAATATCTTGGAGGAATCCAAAGGCATTATAAAAAGAAGAAAAAATAAAAAATGATAAAAAACAAGTTTTAAAACAAATTTATTTATAAATTATAGCTTGAGGATTTGTTTATCTTTTAAAAAATAAAAAATGAATTTAAGAAATATCACTTTTTTTTATCCATTCCCATATATTTAATTGTCTATGCTGTAAAGTTTTTACGACAGGTATTGACAATGGTTGTTCCATTCCCAGACCAAATGTTATAAGACGATTGATGGCAGGAATAGATTAGTGACAATAATCATCTTGTTAGTATTTGGAAATTGGTTCCATTTGTAAAAAAGATTTCAACATTTGAAGACCAATTAACAGACCTAAATTATCTTGTTAGTCAAGGAGCAATCAAACAGTATGGTCGCTTTGTTGGGTTCGTCTTCAACAAAAAAAATTTGTTAGAATCTTCGAAAAGTCAAACCAAAAAACTCTCAAAATTTATTGCACCATCTTTTGGTCATTTTTTTCAGAAACCTTTTTTGCCAAGATCTGAAACTTTACTTTTTCAATAGTGCAAAATTTTCTCCAATCAAAAATTTATTTCTGAAAATTGTTTGTTGTTTGTATATCCTTTCACTTTTTAGCTTGCCCCTGATTTTTAGAGCGTAAATATCCACACTGATATTTCCATCTTTTTCTTTATTTTTTTCTAGTCATAGAAAGTTATCTTTTGTCAACCAACAAATTGGTGAGGCTTTATGTAATTTTTTGCTTGTCTTCCATCCTTATTTTTTAGTCTCCTTCAAATTTCTTTTAAAGCACTTTTTACTTTTCTTCCTATTTCATCACCAGTATTTATTTTTTTTTCTTTTTCCAGATATACAAAGCTATTCTTAGCCTATCAACAAAATTATGACAATTTATACTATTTACATTGTTCAGACTGTTGTCCCTATCTATATTGATATATTCATAATGTCGCTTGAAATCTTGTACGCCTCCGGCCTTCAGGTGATATACGTTGGAACATGAGTAAAAAACAGTTTGAACAATGTAAATATCTATTCCTTTATAGATACAAATATTTAAGAATGTATAAATATTCAAATGTCTTAAGAATTGTTGACTTTGTCCACTTATATGAATGTCATTTGTTTACATTTGGATATGCATTGAGCAGATATGAATGTATAGAGAAAATCATGGAGAATAGTAACTATACAGTAAAATCAACCTTGCTAACTGAATGTGTGGCCAAATACAAGGCACGTGAAACTAAATGACTGTTCCATATAGGACACAGGTTCGATTCCTTTTGAGGAATTATTTTCTATGAAAATTTCGGACATTCAGGCCAGTAAATGTTGTTAATACTGTTTATTATAAAATAGAGCATTTATTTAAATATTTGTATCTATAAAAGAATGTATAGATAGATAGATTTTAAGCAATGGAATGTTATCACTTGGATGACTGTTTTTATTACAGCAAAATTTATATTTTAAAAGTATATTTAACGTCTATGACAAGTATTCCTAACGTAGCATATAAGTGTGAGATCTGTTCATAATGCAATAATTTTATCTAACTCTGATGGGCGACAAGCCTACGAAACTTTGATATCTATTCTTGATAAGTATTTTAATATTCCTTGATTAATTTCAGGATACACACACACACACACACACACACACACACACACACATATATATATATATATATAGAGAGAGAGAGAGAGACAGAGAGACAGAGAGACAGAGAAGGCACGGTGGAGCAATGAATAGCGGCTCGGACTGAGGAATCGCCGAGCCGTCTTCCAAGTGCATTACATTCACTTACCTGCTGTTACCCTTGGGAATCCACTTCTCCTACACAGATATGTTTAAATAGTTGAACACACTGGGTTCTGTTGCCTTGGGTGGGAACCCTTCTAGGAGAAGGTAACTTTGAATTAAATATACCGGCCTGGAAAGGGTTGGACTTGTCCAAGAAACACCATTTTTACTGCGACTGAAGTAAATGTGGTGCCTCTACGACACTGCTAGCTCACGGGAGTCGCAATCGCTCGCGATAGATAGATAGATAGATAGATAGATAGATAGATAGATAGATAGATACAATTGTTTAATTTTCTTTTATATTTATAGAGTAAAAGTATTCAATGTCGGGGAGATAGTGTTTATATAGATATATATTACGGCAATCGTTAATTTTAGTGGATACCTGTATTTAAGTAGACGACCCGTTTATTTTAAACAATGTTTATTTCGTCTACTGGCCAGCGTACTCTAGTATACTTAATAATGACGATGCACCATGCAGCTGTTTTTTGAACCTGTGTCCCATTCAGCACGAGGAATTGATCCGGCTTCCTTTTACCGCTTGGCTACGGAGAGCTTTATAATAAAATAAGATTTTATTTGCCTTTAAAGCACACTGCCGGGTATCCACTAAAAATAAAGTTTGAAATATTAAAATATGTATAACATCGATTTATATATATATATATATATATATATATATATATATATATATAGTCGACTCTCCCGTCGAGATTCGATGTATGAGGGTCAAGCAGATCAGTTTCTAGGAAACCGACAGCCCGACACCGGCACATGAGATTTGATTGGTGAAGGCTTCGTGCAGGACCATCTACACTTTTTTTTTTTTTATATATATATATATATATATATATATATATATATATATATATATGTGTGTGTGTGTGTGTGTGTGTGTGTGTGTGTGTGTGTGTGTCTGTGTGTGGCGTGGGGAGGTGAAATATACTTGTGTGTATGTGTTTGTGTGTGTGCCTGATTTTCACGTATATTGGATATGTCTGCATATATTTACTTTGAATATTCCGTATTTCTTAACTTTTCATAATTTTAGAACATAGCGCTTCGTATTTTTTAATACATTTCGTCATCTGAGATGATGAGTAAAAACTCAAGCCTTTATAATGAATTTCGTTAGAAGCAAATAATATTTCGAGCCTTCAATTTTTTTTTTCTATTTCACCTTTTGGCGATCTATGAGTTTTTTTTTTTTTTTTTTTTTTCCTTAGAATTA